GTTGCTTGGACTCCACGAATTGTACCCCAACCGAGTCGGTGCATTCAGAAGTGAAGGGACTTAAATGAAATTATACACACATGATTTGCTTGCAAAGGACATTAAACCCCTGTTGCTTACGTCGGTCTAATGGACACTGGCGCCGGGCAAATTTACAACTGTTCTTGACAAATGTGTGTGAACACATTTTAAACGACTTTTTAAGCTAGAAAAATGTGGCTTTTACCTCTAACCCCAGTTAGTAAAACCTACTTGTCATCGCGGTACTATTGAACTCGCGACCAAGTCCGGACCTTGCCTTCATGCGTGGTAGGTGTTTTTTTAGCCCCTTTAATTGAAGACTAGGTTGAAGCTATTTTCTCCATTCGGTAATGGAATCACATTATTTTGCATCCAGTTTACCTTCATTTCTTCTCAGAAAGCATTAATGTCTATCGTTACTGAGGTTGCCCATCAGAAGACAACTCTAACCGCAAGAGGAACAGAATGCATTTAGAAAAGCATTATTAACAGACTTTCCGGAAAATGATTTAAAGAACAAGTGATTTGTGGACAAATCAGTCTCTACATTTCCACCTACATAAAAGCATTGCATTTGTCAAGGGAAATCTTGTTAGCAATCTCCCAATCAACCAAAAAACCTGGCATTATCAACCAATTCGTTATACTCAGGTTAAAAAAGGACTTTATGCCCTGGATTTATGCCGCACCGGAGGAGACGAACTTTTAAACTGACGTGCTCCTCTATTAAGTGCTCGACACACTTGATCATGGGGTGAATCAAAATAAACAAAAGCTCAAGCTTATGGGTTTGAAGCGTAACTTGATTACCAGAAGAGATCCATTTCGCATAGCTAAAGGCAAATTTTGTCCTTGCTAGGCGAAAAAACACCTACTTTTCGCTTTATTTTCATTGTGAGCAATAAAATTGCGCCTTAGCGTTCGCACACAACCTGCCGACTGCAGAACAAAAGACGACAGTCTGCACGAAAGAGGCGCACGTGTGATGGTGGGTCCGTGTCCGTGAGTTATCACGAGCAGCGGTGATGAATAATTCAGGCGGAGACGATGTGTACGGGGGGTGCGGACACTGTTCTACCTCACCATGTGTGCAAACAAGGCGGGAGGTGTGAAGGCAGCGCGATTTCGTGTGTCCTGGACAAGAGGCCATACCACCACATTCTCTTCGATGTCACTGGTGGGTTCATAAATTTGGAGACCAAGGCATCAAGCGCCAACTACGAACAATGGCAAGTGAGGCTATTTAAGTAAAAAAAACCTTCAAAATAGGTAAGAAGGGTAGTTACGCTTTTTACCATAAAACATCCTCTGATGAAGGAAGGGTGATGCCCAAGATTTGATCTCCGTTGATATCATATGACTCTCCATTCTAAACGGGAGCAGATTTCTCGAGGTTGCGAAGGTGCACCTCCTTGAATATTCGAGGACGATACAAACAAATGAAGAAAACTAGTCCGTAGAAAAAATAATCACCTACTATTCACGCTTAACTTTCTTCTCTATTCCGATGCTCCCGATTGAATGGCAATTTATAGGCTGCTAGAGGATCTCTTACACCTCGTAAAGCGCATACTGAATCCAGAAAAAAGAACAGGTGCTATTGTAAGGTACGCATTTCTTTTCATCATCATTTATTCATAACCAAGGAACAGAAAGGCACCATTGAAGCCGTGAGCAACTCATCACAATTTCAATATCATTTCCACTGAAACTGCATTATTTACTACTTGAAAAACGATTTTGAAAAGTTGTTTAGCACAATACTTACAATCCCACTGGAATGGAATCTTCGAGTTTATGAACACCTATTAACTTAGGACAGCGGCAAAGAAGAAGCTAAGCACTGGGTGCCACAGAGTAAGCATAGCCTTTTCAGAATTCGTGCCGGTCCAAGTGATTGTGGCAAACAAGGTTCGCTACTTGACACAAAAAAATGAGAAAGGTGGGCTTGTGCTTTGCACTTTTCTGCAGATGCGGATAATCTAAATACTGATTATATTCAAGTACCGAATTTCTCCATTTACTACTCATAAAAGTTTCCTTTTCCCCTTCCACAAAAACCGCTCTTCCCTCATGTCTTCTCATTTCATCCTTTTTGTTGAGGCTTGACTTGCTGAATGCGAAACAACTGGAGCACAATTAAGATGCAGGTCTTAGTTGAGTTGCATTAACCAAAAACTAGGTTGGACCTCTCGTTCATCGCGAAATTCAAGCACGAATTCGTTGACCTTCCTCGCTTTGTGGTTAAGAGATTTCGTGCCAGGGAAATCGCGAGACCATTGTCAAAGTAGCACAAATACCAGTTACCTTGAGAGGTCCCATGTCATTTTAAATGGTAGGATCAACGCGTTTACAAATCTGTTAGAAGAGGTTAGACGTTCCTGTTTTCAGACGTCTTTATCCAACCAAGGTTGTGGGCTGGACTTCTAGACGGTTCTTTTAAGTAGTTCATTGCCAAGTTTCACCCAAAAGTTATTATTGTTACGATAAAATATTACTACTAAGCTATTAATATGACCTATGTAAAAGAAGAGTTTCGAAAATTTGAATGGTAGCTGTAGGTGTGCGCTTGGCCTGTGTGTTCCATAACTAAATCCCTGGAGTGGTGATCGGCCCACCAGCGGTCAAGCGAATTTGCTACATTCAGTCCTCCAGACTCCCTTCAAATCACTCAGACCATCAAAGAGCCTCACTTTCCTATTTATCCCTCTCTTACCAACGCAGGTCTTTGAATTCCAAATGCAAAATAAAATCACTCCTCCTAGAAGTTCTTATCATATGTCATTTTTCCTTACCTGAGGATTCATGAATGAATATGTGATGGGGTCGAGTAGCGGCCGCCCATTTCACGGGGTTTTTGGTCAGAATTTCGGTTCAGTACCCTATAGTGTTTCTCAAGTCTTTTTTGTGAGGAATGAGTTAAAAATCTTTCCCCCCAAAGTTATTCATGTGACTCCCCAAAAAGGAAATTCCCAATCACTCAAATTGTATGAGAAATCCAATGGAACCCATCTTCTAAATTCCAGGGAAAAACATGAGAATTGCCGTAAATGTGTGTTTAGTAGTTGTCCAACATTCTAATTGAAAAGTTTACAAAAAGAATGACAGTTCACTTGGGAAACGCGCGGTTTAAGTATATGGAGCACCTTTAAAATCTCTTAGTTTCCTTGTAAGCTCGAGTAAGTATAAACCATTCACATGAATGGTCTGCCGTCAGATGGAGGGCTTAGGTGGATTGTATTCCCTAAAATAATTAAATTGAAAGGTTTTCTCCGAAACTAATTCCTACAACTGCGACTGCTTACTCAACTTTCAGTTAAAAAGTTTTAATTGCAAAGAAGGTCCGATTAAGAGGAGTGACATTTTCCAGAGCATTCCTAATTTCATTGAATAATATCAGTTTCCCTCGTGATACGTTGTTAAATAAGGTATTATTCATGAGTTCTATTTCAAGAAGTTAATCTGCAGTGCTTGGATTATTTGTTCAGATTTCCTCTTTGCTTTCATGGGCATTGAAGACTCCGCCTTTGGGCTGACGGTGGACGTCTTGGCTTTAGGAATATATCAGTAGACA